CGGAGGCTGGCGACCTCCTTCAAGATCGGTACCGCTCGCCCGCTCAAAGCGTTTCAAAGGTTGCTGGGCCTCATGGCAGCAGCATCTCCAGTGTTACAGTTGGGTCTGCTGCGTATGCTCCCCCTTCAGTGCTGGTTGAAACCACAGGTTCCATTCCATGCATGGCGTCACGGACGCCTGCATTGGTTGTGTCCTACATAAATCGCCAGGGATGCCTCTCTTCTAAGCGCCTCTTCATGCTAGTGGAGCGCTTCTTAGAGTGGGCTCAACCCAACCTGCGCTCGCTAAAGGCAGCGCATATTCAACCGGGGAGCGGACATGTTATCAAGGAGCAATGTCCCCTCAGAAGAGTGGACGCTCCATCCGCAAACGGTTCAGAAAATCTGGGAGATATTCGGCAAGGCCGAGGTAGACCTCTTCGCCTCAGAAGACAACTCTCACTGGCAATTTTATTTCTCAAAGACCAAGGACGCGTTGGCCCACGATTAGCCCAACCTCCTTCTTTATGCATTCCCCCCGATTGCTCTGATCCCACAGGTAGTCAGGCGAGTGAGGGAACAAAAACACAGGGTTCTCCTGGTAGCCCCCCTGTGGATGAACCAGCTGTGGCTATCAGAGCTGACTCAGCTACTGATAGCGGCCCCTTGGCCTGTTCCACTGAGACGGGATCTCCTCTCTCAAGCGAACGGGACATTATGACATCCTCGGCCCAACCTATGGGCCCTGCATCTCTGGCCGCTCAACGGGAGCCTTTGTGCCTCCCAGAGCGAGTCTTAAACACAATTTCGGAGGCTAGAGAAATAGCGTGGTCATCCGCTTCCTGAAGGGTGCAAGGAGGCTGAATCCACCTCGTCCCCCTACCGTCCCTTCATGGGACCTGCCCACTGTGTTGAGGGCCCTGAAGGGCCCCGCTTTTGAGTCACTACAAGCCGCCAACATTAGGTCGCTATCGCTAAAGACTGCTCTGCTTCTAGCACTAGCATCAGTAAAGCGAATAGGAGACCTGCAGGCGCTCTCAATTAGCCCTGCCTGTCTGGAATTCGGACCTAACGACTCTAAAGTCATCCTGAAACCGAGGCACAGTTATGTACCTAAAGTGCTCTCCACTCCGTTCAGAGCACAGGTCATTACGCTCTCCGCACTTCCTCCAACTGAAGAGGACAGAGAGCTATCTCTGCTCTGCCCCGTCAGGGCGTTGAGAATCTATATTGAGTGTTCCGCTCCCTATAGGCGATCAGAACAACACTTTGTCAGCTTTGGTAACCCCACCAAGGGGTTTCTGGTTATGAAGCAAAGACTCTCTAGATGGATAGCAGACGTCATCTCCCTAGCATACTCTTCCTTGGGCCTCCAATGCCCCATTGGAGTACGGGCCCACTCGACTAGAGGCATCGAACCTTACAGGCCAGGATCCTTTCTGCTTGAAATGGCACGCGCTGCGTAAACAGACATGACAGAGAGCCCTTGGCCGTGCCGCGCCCAAGTTCTCTGGTATTGTTCACCTGTTAGCTCTCGACCCCTGGGTGTCGAATTTACGTGTATACTCTGGAACGATTTACCAGGCCAGGTGTGACCTAGAAAGCTCAGCCCGCTTTAGCTTTGGGTTATTGTTGACTTCTCTATAAGCATTGGTTGCTTATGGAAGTTATACCTTTAGTCGTTCCACTACATTAGCACGGCGTGATGGAACTGTTCCCATATGCGTCTAGCAGACGCAGTACGAGTGAAGTATCGAAAGGGAACGTACTCGGTTACTAACGTAACCTCGGTTCCCTGAGATACGGGAACAAGTACTGCATTGCTGGCCATGGTATGTAGCTGCACGACTCAGTCGTCGCTTCAGTCGAAGTAAACCTGAGAATCCTGTGGCGAGCGCCAGAAGCAGATATAGCCAGATGCCCTGCCCATTCTGGCGGGCTTTGGCAGGCTTCATCGCCATAGGCTCGTGCAGCTCCGCTGCCGCGCCATTAGTTCGTTTTTAGAGCCCTGCACGAACCAATGGCCGTGCAGTTTCACTGTGTGAATGAAATAGGCTTCAGTTCAGGAGAAAAAAGGCTTTTTTCCCATATGCGTCTAACAGACGCAGTACTCGTTCCCGTATCTCAAGGAACCGAGGTTACGTTAGTAACCTAGTACGTTTTCGGCTTAAGAGATGAATTCGGCGACACTGACTCGTCATCTCCACAGTAGTGGATGTGCCTGCATGCAAGTTTCATACGCAGGGCTCCAGACAAATTTTCCCCACTGGTCGCTCTTTTGCGACTAACTTTCTCAGTTGGTCGCACAAGCACATGATTTGGTCGCAATATTTTTTTTATTTTATTTTATTTTTTTGCACTACAACATCGGATTAATCAATGCATGCTTTTATCATAGTTTATAGTTATATGGAAACAAAAGTGGTTAACATTCAACCCGTTCTTTTTCATCAGTAGGCTATTATTTGTAATTTGAATTTTGTGAACGGAAGTTCCTCTTTTACTATGTTATAAGCCAGGCTTGGGGTGCTTTCACTTCGAATTCGCGATCTTGTTGTCACGTTTTACAAGAAAAGATAGTTGTCTGTTTTGCTTACATACATCTACACACCTTTCACTTGTTAAGACTAAAACAAAAGATGGATTCATTGTTATTCTTAATTAAAAAGCACAACAACAATGAAACAGTAAGATACAATGACAAACTAGCTTAAAAAACGTTTATTAACAAAAACGAATAACATGAGGCATGGCATGCACCACATGTTATATTCTATACAGACTAATAAATTAAAGAACGTTTGGCAAACACTGAGGAATCAAATAAAAAATAATAATAATAAAAGAGAGCCTCCATAGTGTAACTTGAGGTAAACAGCAAAGATAATAAGCTTTTCAAAATGAAAACAAAAAGAAAAGTAAAACTAAACTTGCTGTCAGTGACAGTGCTTGCATGTTTTTTTTCCCCACAAGAATACCAACATGTTCACCTTCTCTGGTTTAAGAAGCGGTGTTTTACTTTACTTTAGCTTGAAAACCAAGCTAAAGTTTTAGCTGCGCGCACATTCGCGCTCGTGCTGACGCGGCGAGTATAAACCAGGCTCTACTCTCTAAGCGCTGAGCAGTTCAAACGAGTAGCGCAGTTTCGTTATGCTTTCTGTTTCATTTGCCGTTTTATGTTTCACTTATGCAACAGAAATGGCAGCGCTTATGAGTTGAACAATGCGGTGGTCGCGCCAGTGCGACCGCACACAAAATTTTGTTGCACAGGCAGAAAAAATGGCCGCAAAATGCGACCATTTGGTCGCAGTCTGGAGCCCTGAAACGGATTACATAATCTGAGAATATATATATATATTTTTTTCAGATTTGAATTGTTTCATTTGAAAGTAGACATTTCACTCTCTATAGATATATTTTTCATGTCTATAAGGCAAGTATACATGGAGTTTCGTGCTCAAGTTCACAGAGGCCGAGACCGCAGATAGCGCATCCTGTTTGCTTTTTTATTTTTTATTTTACAAAAGCGTAATGTTTTGTTGTTATAGTGAGTGCACACAAATAAATGTAGAGGCTTTACAGATTCGAAAGATGTATTACTCTTATCTGTATGACCAAAATAACAGAGTATTTTAAGAGCAAGTGACTGCACTGGCGCCTCCATCTGGCATGCTGTGAGTGCGCTACTGTTCAGCTTTCACACTGCGCACAGACACTTGAATAGCGCGCATTTTTCTAGGTTAACATTAGATTGAGTGGCCATGTAAAGTTGCTACTACTTACATATTTCAGATAATAAGCCATATTTGAGGTCGATGAATGATGAATACACTTCACATCCCTAGAAAAAAATTTTCACCTTTGCACTCACTGCTCTACCGATGTGGAATTAATGATGTAAATGTAATATTTGCAGTGAGCCACACTGTACAAAATAGTACGGAATTGCAACTTTCAAATTGCAACTGTTATGCATGATTTGTACATCTTCAGAATGATGTTTAATTTAAATGTATAATATTCCTAAATTTTTTAGGAAGAAAAATCTTTTTGCCTAAGGAGTAACAAAATAGGATTACTTTACTGTAATATAGATTTTCTGAAAATGAATAATTATATATTTCGCCAGTTTAAGGTTTTGTTTTTCTTTTTTTTCTGAATAAAAAAATCTTGATAAAGCAGATTTTATCTGTGTTTGTATTGGTGCTGGAATTTCATTAACCTCCCCACCTAGTGTAGTGCGAAGGAAATTACAGGTATTATTTTTCTATGG